CCCCTCTGAGACTCCTTTGGGTAGTGAAGGGTGGGGTATGAATCCAATCTATTATTATTATTATTATTATTATTATTATTATTATTATTATTATTATTATTATTATTATTATTATTATTATTATTATTATTATTATTATTATTATTATTATTATTACTATTACTATTCATGGCCCTTTTTTACACACTAAGGGAAATGCTGATTTATTTATTTTTATTTAACTTTCGATTTTACTGTACCGCCCACACCCCTAGGGGTCTCTGGGCGGTTTAGACTGTAGTGGTTCTAATAACCCGTCTATCCCTAACTTGGGCCACACATATGATAGGGGAGGGAAGCCTACCAGCACCACTCTGGGGTCAGGAAGCCGTCCTGGAGGTTTTTTGCCCTCTTCTGGTCGTGGAACAGGGGTCACTGTGGGTGTGTGTGGGGGGAGGCATTTGTGAATTTCCTGCCCTGTGCAGGGGGCTGGACTGGTTGACCCCGGAGGTCCCTTCCAGCTCTATGATTCTGTGCCCTGTGAGTGGGGGACGGGGTGGGCCCCTCTGCCTGAGACCCTGGAGAGACCAGGCTGACCTTGATGGAGGTGGGGGGGGGACTCTGACTCAGCCGAAGGGACCCTCATGCGTATCCTGCGTGATCGTGTCGCCTTTCCCGGTGCCAAAGCATCCACCTGTGGGTGGCGTTGAAGCACGTGATGGGTTGGGAGTGCCACTGGGCGAGGGGCTCCTTTTCACCTTGGCAAGCCAGTCTTCAGGAAGGGAGCGGAGTGCTCTTGGCTCTGATGTGTGGGTCGCTCTCTCTACCCCCCCCCCCCCCTTGCGACCACTATGACCTTCAGGGCTCCCTTGACTCCGGACAGCCAGTGTCTGAGCCCTCCTCCTCCCCTCCCCCCAACCAGGGGCCTGCCCCAGTGCTGCTCCCCCCTCAGGAAGGCCCCTGGCCTGCCCTCCCTCCGTAGTGCTGCTCTGTGCCTGGCGTGTGGTGTGCTGCCCCCTGCTGGGTGGGCGGGCACAGAGCCTTCAGACCTTCCGGCTGCTGCCCTGACACACACACCCCGCCGCTTGTCTTGGCATAATAGGATCTACGATCAGCGGAAGATAGACGAGAACGAGAGCAACGGGGTGTTGAAGAAGTTCTGCCCGCCCCACCTGGTAAGAAGTGGGTTTTCCCCTCCCCTGGGCCTCCTCCTCCCCCCAAGTGGGCACCGGCAGGTTTACCAGAAGGGGGAGGGCAGGGTGTGTGTGTGTGAGAGAGAGCAGGTTCCAGTTTAGCCATGGACCTCATCTGTCTGTCTGTCTGTCTGTCTGTCTGTCTGTGCCTGACCTCCTGCAGAGGCTGGGGAGGGAAGTCAGCAGCAGAGCACCGGCCTGGCCCGCCACACAGCTCCCAGGGGGTTGCATCCTTCCGTTCAAGGTGTTGGGGGGGGGGGAACAGACCTGACGGGCCCCCGGTGCTTCCGTTCCCCCCCCCCCCCCCCCCCGCTCCTTGTGGGCAGGCGCAGTCGACTTCTCTGGAAAGCGGCGCTCCCGGGCGGCTCCTCCTCCTCGTGGGTGAGCCGTGCAGAGCCGATTCTGCCACTCCTTGGGAAGGCAGAGAGGCCCTGAGGTGTGTTCCGTCTGCTTCTTTTCCCTCCTCCCAGGTCAACAGCGAGTCGAAGGCCAACATCACCTGCCTGGTGTACAGCCACGACGGGTCGGGTGCGTGCACGTCCCCGGGGGGGGGGGGGGGGGGCCCCCCCCGGGGGGGGGGGGGGGCTTCAGACAGAGGGCTGCCTGGCACTTGCAGGCTCCTGGGGGAGCAGGGGCTGTCTTCCTGTCCTCTCCCCCATCTGGCCAGAAATTGGTGGTTGGCATAAGTGACGGCGCAGGCGACGCTCTCCCAGCTGGATGGGCTTCTGTGGCTGTCAACGAGCCCCTCCCGTGCCAGAGGGGCCCGCCTTCCCTGGGGAGGGACTCCCTGCAGGTCCTGCTGAGGATGCGGCTCCCTGCTCGTGTCCCTGGGGGTGGGGGGTGTCCCCCAAGGGGAGGGGGTGCGCCCGCGTCCCGGGGTCTGCTTGAGGGCTCCGGCATGTCGTTGCAGAACTCCTGGCCAGCTACAACGATGAGGACATCTATCTCTTCAACGCGTCCCACAGTGACGGAGCGGAATACATCAAGAGATACAAGGGGCATCGGAATAGCGCCACAGGTGCTGATCCGGCGTGTGTGTCTGTGTGTCCCCCGGGGGGTTCCCTGAATCCTTTGAGTGGTGCGGCCGAGAGGCTGCCGTAAGGTTGGCCCGGGGGCACGGGACCGTCTCCTGCCTGGGGATCAGGTCTGGGGGGTCCTAGCTGACCACCGTCGGCCTGGGCCGGTGGGAGTTCCCCCCCCCCCACAGAGGCTTTCCCTCCCGGCGGGGCCTGGCTTTCTCTCGGCCCCCGAACAGCCTTGGCTAGTGGGATGGTGATCCCCCCCCCCACGGCAGTGGCTTCCGGCAGGAATTGGCCACAGGGAATAGCATTAATTGGCGGTGAAATGCTTGTATCCAGCTGAGCTCCCCGAGCATTAAAGCTGGAGGTCACGAAGAAAGGTAAGGAGTTGAAATAAAGGGGAACCACGGCAGTCGGCAGACTCCTTCCCCCTCCCAAGCCTGGTCTGAACACCTGCAGCTGAGCAGCCGGAGGGAGCGCAGGCGGGTAGGGGGGGACTGTTCTGGGGAGCAACTCCCAGAGTTGGGGGGGTTTCCCCCCAAAGGAGGAGGTCTTGGGTCACCAGCTGAAGCCGGGCGGGGGGGGGGTCCCCGGCTCTGGGCTCTTGGTCCCTGTGGGTGTGTGTGTGTATCCTGCCCTCCCCGGGATTTCCACGGCCCCCCCCCCCCCGTGAGCGTGCCCGAAAGCCCACCTGAGCGGCTCTGTCCCCTTCCAGTGAAAGGCGTCAACTTCTACGGCCCCAAGAGCGAGTTCGTGGTGAGCGGCAGCGACTGCGGCCACGTCTTCCTGTGGGAGAAGGCCTCCTGCCAGGTGGTGCAGTTCATGGAAGGCGACAAGGGGGGCGTGGTGAGTGGGGGCTTGTGCCCGGAGGGGGCGGCCGCTGCTGCTGTCCGGTCCCTGGGCGGGGGTCCTCGCTCCAGCCCCACCTCCGGGGCCCTCCTGATCCCCAGGGCTCCCGTTCGTTTGTTTGTTCCGGGGCTCGTGGAGCACCCCCGAGGAGGCCGCCGGCCGTGTCTGGCTCCAGGGAGCCTCGGTGGCGTTTGGGGGGAGAGTGAGGGGGCTGCCCTTCCCTGCGGAAGCCGCACCATGGCTCAGAGAGGCCCCCCCCCCCGTATCTGTTCCGCCGCAGGTCAACTGCCTGGAGCCCCACCCACACCTTCCTGTGCTGGCCACCAGCGGCCTGGATCACGACGTCAAGATCTGGGCCCCCACGGAAAAGGCCCCCACTCAGCTGACCGGCTTGAAGGAGGTGAGGGGGCGGGGGGGCACTTTTCTCCGGGGCCTCGGCCTCCTCCGGCTGGTGCCGCTTGGC